TTGCCTTCCCTGGTTTAGGTCTCATCCTCAGCAAGTGTGATAACTATAATAGTCCCAGGCATGAATTTCTAATCTGACATTGTCCAAAGAAAGACATAATGTCTCTTATGGATCTTTCTTATGAAGAAAGCCTCCGGCAAACTTTCTCTAATATCTCATTGGCTGCAGTTGGTCCACATACCCATGACCAAGGCTACAGAACTACCCCTTGGGCTTAGATAGATCATTTTTTAGAGAAAGGATTTTGGGGGACTATTACAATTCCCATTTCCCAGATGGGATTCTTTCAGTCTCATATTAGCTTTTATGACCAAAAAAATTCTCTCAGATAAAGGTGATGGGATCATAATTGTCCACAAGTATCTGTAAATGGAATTTCCCACATTGTTATATAGGAAAGTAGAAAAGAAAGAAAGAAAGGACACACTTGTGGTTGCAGATCAGGAAAAGGAAAAGTGAAGTATAAACTGAAATGCTGATCAGGAAGTCCTGTGAGATAGTCCTTACCAGAATTCATTGAGAACGATTTGTGTGTATTTTTGTGCTGTTCAGACTAAACAAGTTAAGAGTCAGACAATGATTTTGAATCAAAATGTGTTTAAGAGTATGTATATCTATCTAGAAAATAGGAAAGCCAAACAGAGGAGAAGAGAAGAGGTTTTTTACACATTATTGCTTAGGAAAGCCAAGCAAATAATGGGTGTATTACATAGAAATACTCTTAAAGCCCATCAGTGATGCTCTCATTCTGTGACCTCACTTTTATTTTATTATTATTTTTAAAAGGTTTTATTTATTCATTTGAGAAAGATACAGAGAGAGAGAGAGAGAGAGAGAGAGCATGAGCAGGGGGAGAAGGAGAAGCAGACTCCCTGCTGAGCTGGGAGCCCCAGTGGGGCTGGGGCTCCATCCCAGGACCTGGAGATCACTACGGGAGAAGACACTTAACCATCTGAGCCACCCAGGTGCCCCAAAGAACCCACTTTTAAGCAATTTCTTCTCCATACTCCATGTAGCTGCTACAAAGGAACATCTTCCTCCAGCCGTCATTTGATAGATTTTTGTGCTTCTCTTAGGATGCTTCTCAAACCGTAACAACCACCTTGGTTCATAAAGGGCTCAAATGACATAACGGGTATAGGAATTAGTGTATTAAATTGATAAAGAGTATTACCTAATCTACCTAAACTTTAGTTTCTCATCTGGAACAAGGTAGTAGGGTATTAATTACTAATATCATGTAGAATTTCCTAAGAATTACAGGAGATGATACATACAAAGAAGTCTTTATGGCTTCATAAAGACTTTATGAAACAGGGTCTGGGGTACAACTGGCTTCAAATCAAGGTTACTTTTTTTTTTTTTAAGATTTTATTTATTTATTTGACAGAGACAGAGAGAGGGCACAAGCAGGCAGAGGGAGAGAGAGAAGCAGGCTCCCCACCAAGCAAGGAGCCCGATGCGGGACTCAATCCCAGGACCCCGGGATCATGACCTGAGCTGAAGGCAGCCGCTTAACCAACTGAGCCACCCAGGCATCCCAAATCAAGGTTACTTTTTACTACTGGGTCTAGAAAGCCTCATAGCTGGAATGAAGTGACAGGGTGAGAAATTTGAGAATACTGATATTATAGTCATTATCAACACTGTTTATTGGTATCTCACAACTGTCAAGGGAGGTTTTTATTTTTTTTTCCCCCTGGTGTTCTTAGAAATGCACCTTTGTAAAGGAAAGTGAGACTCCCAAATTCGGTAATAACCAAGCATTAGATTTTATGGCAAAGACTAGACTCAAACCAGATCTACTGACCTTGAGTGCAGTGTTCTTTCCCTTACCTTTATGGAGAAAGTGTTTTAACATTTTCTGAAAAGATTCATTGCTTACTGTTCAAAAAGGTAGACTTGGGATCCTTCAGTCACTGAGCTGAGTAAACATCGTAAGAATTCTATTTATCCAGCAAGATCCCTTTCCAAACCACTTGGGGATGTTGATTTTATTTTTGTAGGGACAGAATGTTCACACCCAGCCTATTCTACTATGTATTTATTCCTAAAATGAAGGTACACTTTTTTTTTAATAGCCATCCCATAAGTGATCTGTAATGCCTCCAAATATTTGCCCAACTGGCTATGGCATCTGGAATTTCACCATTAGAATAAAATTTTGCCATTAAGTTTTAGCTTTAAGAAAGCCCTTGATACAAGGCACTTGGAAGGGACTAGCAATATTAACATATTCACACCCCTAGTTAACCACTACTGATTCTTATCAGATTGGGTAGTTGTCTGTTCTAATGGACCCCTTGGAGAGTACAAGCAGATCCCAGAGGAGAGCTGTATTTGAATGCAAAGAGTAAAATAATTCCAAAGCTGGGGAAGCAGAGAGGGCGGAAGAGGGTGTTACCTCCAGGAAGCGTAGGCAGAAAGGGAGCTCAGGTAGATGGACGTGAGAGCAGGGACAAGGAACAGAGAAGTCAGTCAGACTACTTAGAATTATTTAATCCTAGGACTAGACCTAGAAGTGTCTTAGAATTCTTTTCTGCTTTAAGTTTAGTGATTTTCTCTGGTTTTAGTGTTTGGCAATGAAAGCAAACAACTAAAAGTCCATGTTAGGTCGTGTTAATATTTCTTAATCACTAAACATATCTAACTCATTAAAATTCGAGTCCTTTATAATTTCTCATAGCATTTTGTTGGTATTTGATAAATATTTGCAGAATGAGCGAATCCTTCTATAATTCTGGTTGGGTTTTTTTTGTTTGTTTTGTTTTTGTTTTACTTTGGAAGTGACTCAATATTGGGTCCATGAAAAACTATAATACTTGATGTAGCGTTCCAAAAACAATAGCAAAGTCTATAATAATACTGTCCAATAGAATTCTCTGTCATGACAAAAATATTCTTTCATTGGCCCTGAACAAAAGGTAGCCACTAGCCACAAGCTGACATCATATACTTGAAATGTAGCCAGTGAGACAAAAATAACTGAATTTTAAATTAATTTAAACAACCACTTGTGGCTTGTGTATCTACCTAGTAATACCTATGGTATTGGATGGAGCATGCAGGTCTGGAGGTTAAGAGTTTTCTGCCCCCTCTCCCTTTGTTTTTAAAAATAGCTATTTTGATTGGTACCATCAATTCTAGATAAGTTCCTTTTGTGTTTTTTTCTTTAAAAAAAAATGGAAATACTTTGATTTGCCTATGGTGACTCTAAAGATCAAATGACTTGCACAGCAGCATCATGGGAAAAATGTATGTGCCTCATTAGTAAGAACTTGTACTATGTGGTCAATTTCTAACTTCAACTATTAACATAAAAGGAGTGAGCCTGTGAACTTGAAATAGTGAAGCCTGAGAAGTGTGTCCTCTGTACTGACAGGCTGGCCTCCCAAACCAGTCTTTCTTTTGATTGCCCCCTCCCTCCTCAGGAATCTTGCACCTTCTGGCTGCCCTCTGGTCTGCAGAGGCCCCTAAGGTCCTTTCCCCAAATTCTCTGTCTCCTAGCTCCTCACTGCCCTCTCCTCTCTTCTAAATCTAAAGCTATCTTGAATTACTTGTGATAACTCTTCTGAATTTTAGAAATGAGAAAGCTGACCCACTGCAAAGGATAGGAAGGGTAAGAAAAGGGCTACTGACTGACAGCTGGTGTGCTTGCTAGACATTTTAGATGGTGTTCAGTGAAAGTGTTGCCCACATGAATGAATGTTATCTCCCTGGCAAATACATGGCATTCAGTAATTTTTTTTGAATGGATAAATACACGAATGCATTTTTACCGTGTGAAATAAATACGATTCCTTATCACAGATGAGGAAACTGAAATTTAGAGAGGTTACACGGCTTCCTCATACACACTACTCCAACATTTAATATTCCTTGTCTGGTAACTGTTTAACTCCTTGCCTTGTTTCCTGTGTCCTCAGGGTTTTGCTCTTTACCCAGCAAGGAGAACGACCAGCTCAACAGACCAGATTTACATCAATGGCTGCAAATGTACTGATAGAACCCGCTCCCAGCGTCCTCGCCCTTTCCAGGGTTCTCTGAATTTTAATGCCAGCCTTCTGTGAACAGTGTCAACTCACAGAAATGGCTCCCTGGGAATTTCACGCTGATCTCTCCTGATTTTATTTTGGTACTTTAGCGGCATTAAAACACACACACACACACACACACACACACACACACACACAAACTCCACAGTAGATATTTTTCCTGGAGTCTGGACGCCTACATAAAAACGATGCGTTCATTTATAAATTGAGTTTCAGTAGTGTTTGCATTTGTCTTAGTCTACATTACGACTAGACGACTGATTTGTGTCTTGGCCCCTATCACTATGTATGATTTGTAAGACACATTAAAAATTGGCTCCTCCTCCATCTCTTCCCCACACCCCTCGGAACCTTCTACGTTTCGGAGTACCGTGTAAAAACGTAGGCGCGTTTGGAAAGCATTTGAAAATTAAAATAAGGCTCTGTGATTTTCAACACAAAGACCACAAACAGCGCTAGAGCACAAGAATTATTTAAAATACATCACATCCAGAAGTTGGAGGGCTACAAAGTACAAGTCGTCCAGGCCAGTCTGCAGAGACTGTGCTTGCTTCCGCCCTGCAAAAACTCGGCAGGCGACACGTCGCGACGAATTTCAGCTGCAGAAGAGGAAGAGCATCACCTGCAGTTCGACGCGTGGGAAAACGCTGTGGGAGGGGGCCTTGCAAGAAAGAACACCAGAGAGGTGCGCGCCGCGGGGCTCCAGGGCCGCTCGGGTGTTGAGTGCGAAGAAAGCCAGCGCTCGGCGGAGCTGGGGAGACGCCGCACGGTGGAGAGGGATACGCGCCTTTGGGTACACAGCTCTGCGGCAGGGGAGGCCGCCCCAGCCCGGTGCACGCTCGTAGCTACTGTCGGGGAGGCGGACCCCGCAGGAGAATCCCATCCGCGCCGCGGGGCGGGGGGCTAGGCGGGGCGCTGACGTCACCTCCCCTCCCCCACCTTCTCCAAGAGGGAGGGAGTGGGGGAAAAGGCAGTGATCCGCCGCAGTTCTCGGCCGCAACTCCTAAACCCGGGCGGCTTGCTGCCTGGACATGTCCTGACAAACTTGGCTTCTCCTCGGCCCTATTCCGTAGCCCTCGCTCACTCTCATTTCGCCTCCTCTTAGTGCTCAACTTTCCACCCAGGACGGGAGCCTCCGGAGATGTGGCCACCTGGGTCCCGGCAGCGCGGGCGGATCGCACTCTCGTTAGGGACATGCTGAAGATCGGAGGGAGGCAAAGTTGGTACTTCAGATACGGCTTTTAACAAATACCCAAATTGCGTGGGGATTACGGAGCTGCCGAGGACTTTAAAGCCAGCACCCAAGGACTCGAGCGGCTGGACTGGTGAGTTCTTCGTTTAGTGTAAGCCTTTTGTATTTAAGTTTAAAACGTAAATGAAATTACGTGGGGTGTTTGGCCCTTTGCTAGTGCACGGAAGCGTGTGCATCCTACAGGCTCTCTTCTTAGCGAGCTGCACACCCCTCTGGTTGTACATGGCTCGGGAATGGAAAGATCAGTCTGCACAGGTTTTGGAATTCATAAAATACATGCATAGCACTGTTCAAAAGAACTTGAAAAGCTATACTGTTTGTGCATTATTTTGAATATAACTTATTATAGAAATGGTGCCCAGGGAGGGCGCAACTTGGGGCCGCGCTATCTGCAGTGGCGCAGCGCCCTCTAGTCTGGGCACCCGGCAAGGCGCGCGATCCCTGGTGGGTTCCGCGCGGACCGAGAACTTGGACCTGCCGGGCGCTCCAGGGACTTGGGCGTGAGCTCCCAGCCTTCACTCACCATCCGCCCCGGCCCGTTCGCTATCAAATTTTCAAATACTAGCTTGGGTGGACTGGTTGGAGAGGCCGTACGGGAGGAAAGCGTTTTTGTTTGTTTTTTTTTTTTTCCTGGAACCGTCCCCTATTCCCCTAATTTCCAAAAGCCTTTGGGGACAGGGTTAGAGAGGGCCAACGACCGAAAGGACAAAGGTGGAGCTTGAACTACATTTTTCTTTCTTGTGAAGGTAATTCGATGGTGGCAAAGAGGCATCTCTATTTCGTTAGGGCTAAAAGAGCAGAAAAACGCGGCAGCGCCAGGGTCTGAAATCTCCATCTCTGGCTCTCGGCTGTTCCTGTGGCGAAAAAGTGCAACTTCTTCCAGGCAGTTAGGTTTCGCAGTGAGCCTGGAAAATCGGGATTCCCAAGCAGATGTTTTTAGCTCGAGTGAGGGTTTTTACTTACTAATGAATGGTAGTTTTTTTCAGGAGTTCTTTTGTGCCATTTAAGACATCTTGTGATTTTATGTTACGGGTTGATGTCTTTTTACTTACTATTCTTTACCTTCCAATTCTACCTTCCTCCGCCAACAAACTGTTGGCGTTCTTGTGTGACTGATTTGTTGAGAGTTAGAATTCAGCAAGGGGCGCAAGCCGGTAGAGCTTGGAGATCAGGTCACCTATTTTCTACGTGTTCGAAGTATAAAATTGACCTGTAACTCCAGGAGCACTTTGCGCATTTATGGCCATGGCCAAGGGTTTGGAGGATGGTGTTTTCTGGGTGTGTGGATTTATGTGTATTCCAAATAATGCGCAGGGAATACGCCACATACTCTTAGTACTACGGTTCAGCACATTCATTCTGCAGGCATTATCTTTTCCTTCCCAGCCATAACCTGCTGCACACCTTTATTTTTACAAGCACATTCTTTGGGATGGTTTAAAAAGAGACTGCATTAACTTTGAACCAAGGAATTTCTCTCTTTAACCCTAGACTCACCCGCCCGCATCTGCCTCGCAGCTCCCCCAGCAGCCCCCTCCACCGGTTCCGGGGAAATCAGATCTCTTTGTCTTCACAGTGTTAAATGTTCGAGTCCCACAAACTTTCCGAGGTCATGTCCGCCCTCTTCTCTGGGCTGTTTTCCAATGCCCAGGGGCACCCCGGGCTTCGGCCGAGGCTCAGCTATGCGGAGTCTGCGTCTGGAGATTTGCCGGCGCTGAGGATGGGCCCACAGTCCCCGGACCCCGGACTGCTCGCTCGGGCGTGGGTTGGAGGGGGGCTTCCCCGAGTGGGGCGTCCAGCTCCCGGGGCTTCCCCTTCTCCCTAGGGAACTTGTAGTTCCACGTTAGAATGGGTTCACAGTTTGTGCGGCTGGGAAAGCGCACGAGGCGACACAGCAGCCTTTTGTCCCGCAGACGTGGGAGTGTGGGGTGTCTGCCGGAAGAGGCCGGCGTTGGGGTTCGTAACCCGGGTCGGGGAGGTTATTTAACTAGCTCTGCACCATGAAGTGGCGGAGGAAGCGCTTTCATTTTCCCTGGATCTTCGTGTAGACCGAAGAAGGAAGTAGATCCGATCCGACTGCATTCCTTTTTGAGACCTTTTGGAAGATTTTATTCCACCGAGCAATTGTAGACCCAGAACAGAGGCTTTCAAATGCAGATTTAGGAATTCTCCGAAGGTTCTAGAGAATCTAAAGGGAGTCGGGGGAAGCCTTATTAGCCTTAGCTGCCCCCCCCCCCTTTTAAAGCTAAACTGTCCCCTTTCCTAGCAGGAAATATTCCATACTAATTCCCTGCACAAATCTGTGTACTAGCCGTAACTAACGGCAGCACTACAGCAAGCCCCACACCGTTTCTCGGAGTGTCGCAAGAGCACCCTGGGCACTCGCTTGTCTCCTCGGAGTGAGCCGCTCTAGCGGCAGGGGATCACTGACCCGCGGCGGGGAGTCGCTGCCCGGGACCCGCGAGCTCAGAGTCTGGCCGCCAGGGAAAGTCAGATCGAGTTTCCGCGCGGGAGAAACGAGCGCCGGCACTCGCGGGCGTGGCTGCGGGCGGAGGGATATATTCCGCGCCGGGCGCGTGAGGTGCCGGTGCCGAGCAGAGCGGCCGCGCAGCGGGTACGCGGACGGCGAGCAGCGGCCTCGGAGCGGGGCGCGCGGGGAGCGAGGGAGGGCCGCCGCCACTATGCGGACCCGCCCGCCCAGTGAAGCCCCCGGAGGACCCGGCCCCCGCTCGGGGGCGCGCTGAGGCGACGAGGCGCGCGTCCCCGAGAGTGCCGCCGCCACTTGGGGCCAAGTTTGCTGTAAGTTTGATAGAAACGAAGTTGGGGCTGGAGGGCCGGGTGAACGGGGGGCGCAGCGAGGCGCCGGGGCTGCCGGTGCGCGGCCGGGGCGGAGCCGTCTGCGCCCAGGAGGCATGCAACTTGCTGCTTCGGGGTGGCGGACTTTAGGTTCCCTGGGTGCTTCTCCCTCGCTGTCCAGCCCAGGACGGCGCTCGGGCCGGTGCTCTAGGAGATGGGATGAAAGCAAGCTCCGCGGGAAGGTGGTACAGTGCCGCGGCGCCTGCCGGCTTGGAAAGTTCGGGACGGGCTCGGGATTCCGGCGGCGGGGAGGACGTGGGGGCGGAGGGTGGGAGGGGGATAATTTGCAACGTGCGCCGAATGGTAATTACCTACCCAAGTGCCGCTGCGAGCCGGCTGCGGGCTGTGGCGGCGGCGGCCCGGGGCTGCGCGGGTCCGGTGCTGGAGCCATTGCTGGAAATCAAAGCGGCGGCCGCGGCGCGGGGCTACCGGGCGGCGGGAGGACGAGGACTTCCGCTGCACCCTGGAGCTCGGAAACTTCTCCGTCGCGCCCCGCGCGCTCTCCCCGGTAACTCTCGTGCCTGCTAATGGCTTAACTGATCTCGCCCCTAGGTTAATTCTTCCAATTTCTGAGAGTCCCGGCGTAGGTGAGATGAAAGGAGAGGCCGGTAGCCAAAGAGATGGGATCTTTGAAATGGAGTCCCGGAGTTCTCTCAGATGTTTTGTGCCCCGAGGGATCGCTGCCCTGAGGGTTAAGTACTAACTGGTTAAATGTAGATAGAATAGGTGCGATTGGTTAACTTGCGGAGGCTAAAGCTTTGCAAAAGTGTGCTGCTTCTTAGTTTGGTTTTTTTTTTCCCCCAGGAGAGAAACTTGTAAGGTTTTTTTTGTTTTGTTTTGTTTTGTTTTGTTTTTAAGAAGGGATTCTCATTCTTCACTGCTTTCTCTTACTCGCAGTGCTTTCTTCTAGGAAGCTAACTTTTTGTTGTCTCCGGGAGATTTTTTGTTCCCAGTGATGTGAGTTGCAGAGCTTTAAAAACAAGGACGCAATTGTATGCTTTAGGAAAGTAAACTCGAACATTTTTTATGCACTTAAGCTTTTTTTTTTTTTTTTTTTTGCATGTGTTTGAACTACGGTTTAAGTGGCTTTTGTTAAACCACTCTGGTGCTTGGTAGAGTGGATTTTATTTTCCTTTTTTATTAGATATTTACAGTGAATATTAAAATCGGAAAAAATGTAAAAGGCAAATGATCTTCGTTTGTTTATCTTTAATAAAGGCAGCTTCTTAAGGCTTGGTCCGTTCAGACATGGGTTCCATAGTTGGAGATATCTGCACGTGTTAAAACTAGGTTATGGTAGTATTTTTTCCAATTTTTAGAGTTGTGGTTGTTACAAAATGTGTTTCTGCGGTTGTATAGGTTAATATACATGAAATATATTTGGCTTTATCTTTGGGTTTTAAAAGAACGGCTCTGGTTCCACAACTAGAATTATTATTCCTCTGTCCTTATTGTACTATCAAACCTTAAGATGGATTTAAAAATATTTAAAGTATTGCATAATTTTTAAAAAAACAGTTGACATAACTCTAATTAAGCTAAACATGGCATTTAACAAGCTCAGAGTAAGGTTTGACTTGAATAAAGTATGCATTTGTGTACCCATTTCTTTAAAAAGGAACATCTTAAATGAACCACATTCTTTTGTGACTCTGAGCAGAAGCAGGATTGTTAGAGGACTTAATAAAAGCATTCAGGCCACCTGTATATTCCTTGTATCTTTTAATTAGTCACTAGAAGTTCCCCCAGTGGATTATCATCCTGTTAATAGATCATTTAATCCATGTTGTGGACAGGTGCCAAAGGGGAATCTGAAAATTATGTGTAAACTAATACAGTTTTCCATCCCCTGCTCCCCTGCCTCTCTTGTGTATCTCTGTAGACTTAGCTTTTGAGCCACCGCTGAAGCAGTTATTTCTTTGAATGTTAGAGGTGAAAGGGATCTTACCTGTCATTTAACCTCACTGTCAAGTCTGCCACCACCTGTTTTCCACCCCAGTTTGGCTGATTTTACATAGATTCAGTAAACTGAATCAAATTAGTGCATTATTGTTGCATTAAATGTTGTCTCAGTGGCCTAATTTGTGGCCTAAAGGACCTGACTTAATAGCAGGAAGCCATAAGGCTAGGTGTCTGTTTAATCTTTATGAGTGGGAAATTGCAGTAGGTAAGCTTTCTTTTGACCAATTGTATAAATGATGAAGCCAAACTTTTTTT